TAGCCACTGGGTCTTCATCCTGAACCCCAAAACGAGACACATGGAACAGAACTGCACTTACCAGCAGCCTGAATTAGAGCTGTCCTAGGGGAACTACATACTTGCCAGAGAGGAAAATGAATGCTTTTTGTTAGATGCCATTGAGATTTTGCTGGGTACACAGCAAAGGCTGATTGATGTAATAAACCTTTGGCAAACTTGATAAAGCGTAAGTGAATGAACTCAGGTTATTACTCTGTGCATCCATTTAATGCTTTGTTCACTTCATACTTACGTTTATCATTAACTGTAGGACAATATTTAACTCTGACACACGTTTAATTGGACACTTCCTGGTCAGTGCTTACTTGATAGTTCCTTGATCTATTTCAAGATACCACAATTTTAAAGCAAGGAAACCAGCCACTACCAATGTTTTCATTTATTTAACAAATACCGTTTTCAGAATAACACTGTGTATCACTGATTTCTTTAAATGGTACTCCCCACAGCCAGTCTTTTCCCGTTTTTATTATTGTGTACTTGGTAAATTTTTGCATTACATACTATCAGCTTTGAATATTTCATTCATAACCTTGAGAGAAGATACATTTTTTTTCCGATTTCTTCTTTTTTTTTTTTAATGTACTGGGGATTTTATGCTAAGCATGCACTCTACCAACTGACCTATACCCCTACCCTACAATTTATTTTCACTTTTATATTTTTATAAGATAGCAGCATCACAATGTTTAACCCCCATATGAAAATGAAGAAGAGTTGTTAAAAATAGAAGTAAGTATTGTGACAACTCCATATGTATTGAATCACGTGCAGAATAGTGACAAATTTAAAGTACCATAATCCTTCTCTTCTGAAACAAAGGTCTAAAATGTTTTAGAAATACTCATTTCTGAAGGACTTCCACTGTCAAGACTATGGACCTGCCAAAGCGCAAGTTCATTCAGCTCAATTCCATTCTACAAAGGTTTAGTCAGGGAACACCTTTTACGTCCCAGTTGGCTCCAGATGTCCAAAGACAGGTAAGATCTCAGCGAGCTCACAGACACGTGAACACATATTTACACGTCAGGAAGTGTGCTAACACCGAGATCACAGGATATTTCAGTGGGCATTAAATCCAACCTGAGGGTTGCAACGTATTTATGATATTACTATTTAAATAAGGAGCAACCAGACACTTAAAATGATTAACTTGTAACCAGATTGGGATTAATTTGTAAAAATTACAGTCTTGAAGATTTTAAACACCATTCATTTTTTGGTGTATTTTCTGGACTATTTATGCAGTCTGTGGACAACTGACCTTTCCAAACTGTGTCACTAAATTCTTTATGTAGATTATCTATTTATAACAAATACATTCTTATGGTTTCCTTTTTCAAGATTTATTGCAAGCTTGTTTTTATATCTTCTCAGAGCTTCTTTAAATGGTACATTTTCTTTTTGAAATTAAATAATACCCACAAATTCAACTGTAATCATTTATTCATAATATGCAACCCAAAAGATAATCAACTACTTTTCTCATTATATTACTGGAAGGAATATAGTTACAGCAGGAAGTCTTCTCTAGACTAGGAAAATTTTTAGAAGTTATGTTTTGCATAAATTTCTGTGCATTTTTTTAACATTCAGGTTTCATCAAAGCTGCACCTAAAAGAAATTCTCTAATTAATTTCACATATTAATTTCTAAGTTTAAAACAAAGCTAATTTCAAATACGTTTAGCATGGTTTTGTTTTTAAAGATTTACTTTTTTTTTGCTCAAATGTATTTCAAACTCTTCTAGCAAGTAACAAGTTCAGGCTTATGTGGGAATGGATTCTTTTAAATGCATTAATTATTGTTTGATGTATACACAGGATTGGTAATATGCCATTTGTAAACCTCTCTTTAGTTTGCAAAACACTTTCATTTTTGTATTATCTTATTTAGTTCTTTCCCTGAGGAGGAGGTATTATCAGCATTGCTATTTTATTGATGAGTAAATTGAGCCTCAGGGAGATTAAGTGACTTTACAGGTCACAGGCCTGGAACCTGGTCCCTCTTCCCACTACTCACCTCGTGTTAAATAAGTTTTAATATAATACTGCACCTCCAGAATGGCTGTCACTTAATCATTTTTTAAAAAAATTTAACTTGGTTAGGTTACATTTGACCCATTTAAGTCTGGGGAAAAAAAATTGATTCTCCTCTGCTTTTCTTCAAATTACCATACTCGAGCTAGAGATCACAGGATACAGCAAATTAGATGAAAGATAATTTTTAAGGCATGTGACAGACCCATTAAAGTGCTTGAGGTGATGATCTTTGGTTAGACTTGTGCTATTGTTTCAGTTTTAATTATAATACCACTGTAACAACTCAGGAAAAACTAGCTGGGAGTTTAAATAAGAGAAACACTATAGATACAGACATTTCTGAGAGTTAAAATGATGAGATGGATGTTGACTGGGTCAAGCAATTTTTTTTTTTAAAGTATCTATTGGTAAATATTTTTGCCTTAATTTTTGTCCTTTATATAGAAAATATTTCTAAAATACACTAGCCTACTTTCTTTCTAGAGAGTAAGTTCAGGAATGATGCTTAAAACACCATTTAATCTTTTTAAAGAGATAATTTATGATTTTATAGCGATTACATTAAGCATTTTTTTCATGAAAAATTATGGGACATGCAGATGTTGATGGTATATGAAGATGCACTAAAATACACCCTAATGAGTTTCAGATTTGCAGACACTAACTACTATGTGTAAAACAGATACACAACAAGTTTCTCCTGTACAGCACAGGGAACTATATTCAATATCTTGTAATAACCTATAATGATAAAGAATATGAAAAGAATATAGGTATTACATACATAAAGGAATGTATGTATGTGTATAACAGAAACATTATGCTATCCACCAAAAACTGACACATCATTGTAAACTGACTATATTTTGATAATTAAAAAATATATATATATATACTCAAAGGAAAAAAAATCACAAGACTATCTCTTTTGGGACCTGCTTATTTCCATACTTCATTTTCCTATAAATTCCAGATGATTACCATTAGTGCAAACTTACTAATAACTAAAGCAATAATTAAACCTTCTTTTAGAAGTTATAATGCTGTAAACATCTCACGTATTTATTCCTTAAGTAAACACTTGAGTACTTCCTCATTCCTCTTTTGTAAGATGGGGATAACAACAGAACTTTTCTGTATCAATTAGGGTCTCTGGTTGAAGGCAACAGAAAGTACTGGAAGAAAATTACCCAGTAGCTCACAAAATCATCCGGGATGGTGGCAATCTAGGTGCGTAAAATGCGCTGGGCCATCCATTTTGAATGTCACTGTTGGCACTGTTAACACTCAGACCCAGGTCAGCACAATTATTCACACCACTGTGAATTATCTCTGCATCTTTGGGTCACTTT